TTTCATTAGAAATTGTGAAAATTAGAAAATACCATTAGAAACATAACCAAACATCCCCTTTCACTTCCACCGCGCTAGTGTGTCAAAATTTGTACTTTATGTGGAATCAAATCTAATGGTTAAATAACTTCCAAGTTCCAATCGTTGATTGGAACTTGAGGACATGGACCTTATGAGCTTGAAGTGCTCATGCAATGAACGTTGGGCCGCCAATATAGTAGATGTATTCGATACTGGAGCAGGATCGTTATTTGGAACATTAGATGTTCCAGACATATTACTAGCATATTCATCATAAAGTTCATTTAATAATGCAGTTGAATTGCTAACAAAATTCGGTACGTTAGGAATTGGGGAGCAATCAAGCAATGATATATTCCTAGACAAATTCTCGAAATATTTTTGTAGCATATCAGGTAACAAGTCAAGCATAATTCTAGGATCTAAAATAATAGCAATCAAATATAACTCAGGAATATTCATATAATATTGGCAGATCTTTTTCTTAATTCATTCAGACGAACTAAAATTTCAATTTGCATAGCTTTGTTAATAACACCGACAATATTGCATAACTGATAAACAACTAAATGAACACTAGGATAATCAGTACCAGATAATAAATCAGAATTTTCGGAAAAAATCTTTAAAACATCACATATTTGAAAGCATGTATCCCATTCAGAGGGTAAAATATAAATTTCAGCCTGAGGAAATTCCGAGTTAAAAAATAGACATATTAAATCTTTATATGCAAAAGTTTGTTTTAAAAATCTATATGTTGAGTTCCAATGAGTTGGAGTATCTCTGTTAAATCTAACTGGATGCATGTGGTGAGTTTGACAAAACTGCCACCATTGTCTGGTAACCGACTTGTGTCGCCATATGTATTGAATACATGATCTACGTTTAGTAATTAATATATGTTGCTAAAATTCGTAAATCATTTTGCACACATCAATTCAAAATATGATATATGCACCTCGGGGTGGTAAACAAGTCGAGCCGACTCGTGAGCTCGATGAGCCAGCTCAAAAAAAGCTCGAACTCGGACTCGAGTTTTTCGAGCTCGAGCTCGTGTTCTGACAAGCCGAGCTCGAGCTTGTTTTAAGTTGTTCGTGAGCTCACGAGCCGGCTCGCGAGCCTTATTTGTTATTTCTTATATAGTATTTTGTATTTAAATAATGTATAATAATGTATAATATTATATAAATAAATAAAAATAAAATATTAAAAAAATATATATAAATACAATTTATTGTTTATTTTGTAATTTTTTAAATTAATTTTTAAAAATAATAAAATAATAATTTAAAAAATATTTTAAAAAAATGAGTTTGGGCTCGAGCTCAACAAAATGGACACGAGCTCGAGCTCTAGCAAAAAAAAAAACTCGACGAACTCGAGCTCGACAAAATAAACTCGAGATCAGCTCGTTCACACCCCTATGTGCACCTAATATAAAAAAAATCCCCATATGCTGGCTTACATGCATCTACAAGATCGGGGATAGAAGACGTATTGGCACTTGCATTATTGAATGAAATTGAAAAAACTCTTTATGGTAATAAGTATGAATCTAACCATAAAGAAGTTCTTGTGCAATTTCAGATGCAGTATGACCACTATTTATAATAGGAAAACAAATTATTTTGTTTTCAAGTTTCGAAGCACGATTAATCCAATGACATGTCACACCCATATAGTCATTACGATCCCAATGATCACTCCAAATATCAGAACAAATAGAAGCTTTGTTATTTATCATAAGAAATTCTTGTACTGATACAAGTTTCATGCGATTAACCCCGTTTTTTGTAGATCGAGTAGATGTAGTTTTTGGTTGACGAGAACAATTAGGCCCATACATTTTTTTAAAAACAATCTATAAGACACTCATTATCAGCAAAACTAAATGAAAGTGATGCTACTGCAAGAACTCTAGTCTATTCTTCTCTTTCTACTTTTTTTTGAAAATTTAAAAAGTTGAGAATCGATACCTCCATGTGAAGAATTAAATCGTATCGGTGTTTGAGTTTGGTCGTGGTCGAATTCCGTCGGATGTTTGGTCATCAAATGCTTATGAAAGGTTCGCCCTTTTTTCCAAGTGTATGATTTAGGTGCACCCTATATATTAAAAAAACTATTAATACACTTGCTAAATAAAATACACAAATAATTAAAAACAAAAATAAAAGGCGTGCAAAAAGTAGACAAATACCTTGCAATAATTGCAAAACGCTTGTATGCTCCCGTCCTCCAGAACCGCTCTAGTAAAATGGACACGATGCATTTCGGACTTTGCTTCCGTATCATTCATTTGGGATTATCCACCGAGTGATGATTGAGACGGCGTAGAACATGGCGCAGGAGATGGCCTAGGGGCCCTCGATCGCCTTGGCCTAGGTGGCACTCCGGTCGCTCGGCTAGGAGGCGGTACCTTGGTCGGATCATCATCATCATCATCACCACCACCACTAATAAGTACATTCCGAGAATCTATAGTGTGCGATTCGAGTTGGGGAATTGATTGGTGTTGCCAATTATCGGAACAATCCTAGTCCAATTTAGGAGGGATTACGCATTTTCCCTTTCCACGATTATCACTTGAAGATATTTTTTTCAGAGTAACCAAAAGAAAAACGAAAATTGAAAACCGGAGAGAAGATCGAGAATTCTTGCAAATTTAACCGAGAGTAGAAAACACTTGATATTTGAGTATTGAGAGAGTAGAGATATATGTGAGTGAATTGGTGAAAAAATGGAGCCGATGTGTGTGTGTGTGTGTGGGGGGGGGGACGGCGGGGTATTTATAGGTAAAAAAAGGAATTTTTTTTGAAATTCGTCCAGCCGAGTTCTTGTCGGGTTTAATGCGACGAATCCTGGCCTCCATCTCAAACGATCATATGATCTTGGCCGTTGAAAAAAAAAATTTAATAATTTGAATTATGTCAGACCGGGTCCGGATTGACCCGAGAAAATAGCCGTTGAAAATTGAAAAAAAAAAAAACAAAATTGAAATTTTGGACTAGGTATGGGTCGGGTCCGATTTGGGTCCGGTCAGGGTTCGTTTTATAGCCGTTATAATTCAATTTAAAAATAAAAAAAATAATTCGGGTGGACCCGACGGGTCCTCGGGTCGACCCGTCGGGTCTCGGGTCTGCAAAAACAAGACCCAAAACCAATCCATGCAAACTCGGGTCGGTTCCGGGTCAGACCCGACACGTGGCCGTTTCTAGCTCAATGTATCTAATTAAAGACGAGGAATCAAAACCAATAAAAATTCTCCAAACATCCTTGTGGACCCATTTTTGTTCTTTGAGGTGGAAAAATAGGAACAAAAATCGCACAATCATTTCTTCTAACGAGAAATGTCCGGTTGTTGGCTAGAAACAAGTTGCAACAGTGAATATTATTCAAATGAACTTGATCGAATTAAGACCAATGAAGCAACATGTAATATTACATGTCTCCAAATAGAAGTAGGTGAATTAGACCCTAATAGTAATAGTCTAGCTATCAGTTGCAACCTTTTAATAAAGGACTCTGCAAGTCGATTGTGAGTGTGCACAAGCGCAACTGAATGTTCAGCATCAATATTATTTGACATGAAGTAATAATCAAATGATTGAGATGTAAATTCACCGACATAGTCAAGAACTGAGCTCTCAATTTTATGGAATAATCGGAAAATTGAGCTCTCAATCTTATAATTTGAACAAGAAATTTAATACAAGCAATCGTGTTGATACTAAACTTACATGTGACCATCTAAACGATGAATCTTTAGGATCATGAAATAACGAAATGGTCCACAAGGTTCACAAATATCTCATGTAATTCGTTGTAAAAATAATGGGAATTCGTTACCAGTTTTCATTGGAGATGGTCTCATACTCAATTTTCCTTGTGAGTAAGCAGCACACAACTGTCAAGTTAAAAAAATATTTTGATTTTTTAGAGGATACCCATATGAATTTTTAATTATTCAGCGCATCTAGTTTTGAAATGAATTCATCTTACAACTCAAAATTTGTTATATGACAATAATACGGTTTTATGATATCATAAAATTGAATTGCGATTATGATTGGTATTTGTGTTTTGATATTTATAATCTGTTTTGACGAATTGGATTATTATTTGTGGGTACTCTTCTGCAAAACACAAATTTCCCACGAATTGATGTTTTGACGAATGTGTCAGAGATCTTTATCTGAGTTACTTGACTAGTGTATATTTTTTTTATTTAATATTTATTATTATATCAATGCATGGATTTGTATATGCATATTGTATGAATTATCTCTGGACATTGAACTGCACACACACACACGTGATATTCAAAAAAAAAACTGATTGACGTAAAGGTCATTTAGTTTTCAGAGTTTATACTGTTTGTGTGTACCTATTTGAAATCAAAGGTCATCATTATAATAGAAATGAAGTATTACATGCCTCATGTTTTAATGAGATGTACATACATGATCTGTGAGTGCTTATTCTGTGCATATTCATTTTGATTACTCTATAATTTCATGCAGTATTTTAATATGCACTACATGAATTATATGTATTCTGTGAGTATTTCATCACTCAAACAAAATAACGATAATATTATTAGTTTTATATTTATGAAATTTACAAATTGTGTAGTTGCCAGTGACCTAGATTAGTAAAATCTTATAAATATAAGACTATATGAAGGTTTAATCATTTAGATGATATTAAAAATTATAATATTCTCAAATTGCAGTTATAATTAAGAAATTAATACTAGCTCAAAGGATAGTCGATTTTAATTAATTATGAACTGGGTAGGGTATCATAATTTGTATTACTTAGCAATTAGAATTGTTTACCTATAAGGTAATATGACTAATTGACGAGTGAGATAAATTATGTTAGACCCTACTTAGGTGTTATAAAAGATTATGTACACCAACATAGAGTGAACAATAGGTATACTATATTTCACCCAAAAGAGAACTTCTAGTGATATGGATAGTTCATCTTATTTGACTCAAGGTCTTATGTGAGCATCCTTTCATCCTTACCTTATTATATTCTGCTAAATTTATTTCAGTTGCTATTCCTACTTCGTTGTACTCGCATGCTTCTGGTATTAAGACTCTCAATGGGTCAAATGTCTCCGAATGGTATGAACAAATTCAATTCACATTGGGTGTTATGGATTTGAACCTAGCATTGCTTACTGAAAAACCTGGAGAATTAATGAATGCTGACAGTCAGGAAGAAGTTAGCCTAATTGAAGCCTGGACCAAGTCCAATAGGCTTAGTCTTATGCTTAATTATTAGAATGCCCGTTGCTAATAATATTAAGACTTCTCTTCCCGAGGTTGACAATGTTATGGAACTGTTAACGGCTATTAAAGAACGCTTTAAATTAGCGGACAAGTCGTTAGCAGGGACACTCATGGCTGAATTGACTACCATGAAATATGATGGTGATAAGGGAATTCAGGAACACATCCTAAATATGACTGATAAGGCTGCCAAACTTGGAGCTCTTGGCATGAAAGTGGAAGAGTCCTTCCTTGTGCAATTTATCCTTAATTCACTTCCATCAAAGTTCGGCCCATTCAAAATCCACTATAATACTAAAAAAGACAAGTGGAATTTGAATGAGCTGACTAGTATGTTTATTCAAGAGGAAGTGAGATTAAAGCAATAAGAAAATCACTTTGCATTGGTTGTAACTCATGGAAATATGAAGAAGAAAGGGAAATTTGTGAAGAGTGGAAAGAAATTAGCACCAAACAAAAGATATGAACCTGGTGAAAGTACTCAGGGTCATGGAAGGATTGTTGTTGCCGCCTGTTACTTTTGTAACAAAAAGGGACACGTAAAGAAGGATTTTGAGAAACGTAAGGCTTGGTTCGAAAAGAAAGGTATTCATCTTTCTTTTGTATGTTATAAATAAAATCTTATTGAAGTTCCTTCTTCCACTTGGTGACTTGATTCTGTGCCACACCTCATATCACAAATTCATTACAGGGATTCCTTACAAATCAGAAACCAGAGGAAAGTGAAAAGTACATCTATATGGGAACCGTCTCAAATCTAAAGTGGCGTTTGATGGCACTTATCGCCTCATATTAAGGACGGGTCACAAGATGGATCTTGAAAACACTTTTTATGTACCTTCATTTTCTAGGAATTTGGTTTCTTTGTCAAAATTGGATGTTTGTGGTTATTCAGCTTTAATTGGTTGTGGAAAACTCAGTTTTATGTTTAATTCTATAATAATTGGTTCCAATATTTTATGTGATAGTTTATATAAAATATCTTTGAATCATGAGTTTCAGCAATCATTATTAACCACTCATTCAGAAGTTGGCGTAAAGTGAAGCCTAAATAACGAAAATTCTTCTATCTTGTGGCATAAACGTTTGGGGCATATCTCCAAGGAAAGAATCGAAAGATTGGTAATAACTGGAATTTTGAAAAATCTAGACTTTACTGATTTTCAAGTTTGTGTGGATTGCATTAAGGGCAAGCAAACCAAATACAATAAAAAAAGTGCCACAAGAAGTAAAGAGCTTCTTGAGTTAATCCATACAGATATCTGCTAACTACATATTCCATGTTTTAGTGGAGAAAAGTATTTTATCACCTTCATTGATGATCTATCTCGTTATGGTTATCTCTATCTAATTCATGAAAAATCTCAAGATGTTGATATGCTAGAGGTATTTGTTACGGAAGTCGAGAGACAATTAGATAGAAAGATTAAAGTTATACGATCAGATCGGGGTGGGGAATACTATGGTAGATATGATGAGTCGGGCCAAAATCCTGGCCCATTTGCTAAATTCTTAGAAAAGCGTGATATTTGTGCTCAATACACAATGCCTAGAACAACATAGTAGAATGGAGTTGCTGAACGTCGTAGTCGTACTCTTATGGATATGGTTAGGAGTATGTTAAGTTATTCAACTGTACCGTACCTATTTCACATTATATTTGTTCTTCGAAAGCCATCAATTATTTTTGTGATAGTTTTGTACGAGTGTTTTAGGTATTTTACTCGACATTCTTTTTTATGTTTGATATCGATTTACATTTACTGTTTTTATGACTTCTCGTTGACTATAATTTTAATAATTTTATTTTTGTTTTACTATTTCTATACAAAAACCTATGACCTTAATAAGTGTAAGGTCCTGTTTGGATTGGAGGATTCCAAACGAATGGATTTGAAATACCTTGGATTTAAAATACCTTGGATTTGAAATCCATACAATTTAAAATCACCTATTTGGATACATGAAGATTTATACAAAGGATTTCAAATCAAATTCACTGTTTGGCTAAAGAGCAGTGGATTTAAATTCTTTAATTAGTTTTACAAATATTTTCATATCATACAAATGTGATATTGCAATTATTGAACTTCTGAGAAATATCAGTTAAATTTCATTAAATAATAACACTATATAAAAATAAAAATAATATATATATATATATATATATATATATATATATATATATATATATATATATATATATATATATATATATATATATATATATATATATATATATATATATATATATATCTCGAGCAGGCAGGGCCGGTTCGAGTCGAGCCGGGCCCACGGCTTCCCCTTCCCACTCCAATGCCACAGGCTCACCGGACCGGGGTGCAAATCACGGCAGAGGCCACGGAAGTTATCGCCGCCGAGTCCGTGCTGGTTCACCGGTGATCAACCGGAGCTATGTTTCCGGCGAACACGAGCAAGAATGGTGGCAAAGAGCCCAGCTCGTAAATCCTCATCCTCTTCTGAAGCTCCATCCACTCGACAATCTTGGTGGTGTAATCTTCGGCCCTCCATCTCTGAAGATCGATCACCATAACCCACGTGTTGAAGTAGCAGGGTTTTCTGTTGGCGAAGGTTAGAGAGAGAGAAGGGCTGGACCAGAACGTCGGCGTGAAGTTGGCGTTGCAGTACTCCGGCGCCGCCAGCACGGCCCCGTTCGGGAGCGGCGTTGTCGCGACTTTCGCGATGTCGTCGACGAGGACGAGGTTGGAGTCGAGGTAGACTACCCGTCCAAGAGAGGGTCTAGGGGCATCTCACCGCCGTCGAGCACCGCTGCCGAGCACCACCGTCGAGCACCACCGCCGAGCACCACCGTCGAGCACCGCCGTTGAAGAGGAATATTCCCTGCTAATTCCCTAGCTAGAAGATCAATGATTGAAGAAATCCCTAATTTTTGAAGGCTGCTAAGACAAGTCACGATGGGTGGATTTCAAATGACTAGGTTTGTGGGAGGATTTGAAATCCATTAAAAAATGGGCTCAAATCCATCGATTTTTAGAGGTATTTGAAATCCACTGATTTAAGTTGCGGCCCAAACGACGTAATGGATTTGGGCAGTGGATTTAAAATCCGTCCTAGCCCAAATCCGTCCTTCCAAACGGGCTCTAAGAGAATTATGTTTCTAGGATTGTTTTATAAATTCCTTTCTACGTTGATATGTCCCAACCTCCAATTTAAGTAGAAAATTTTCATTATTCCTCCATTCACTAGTTTATACATTTCATTCCAAAAGATGGAGTTGGGTAAAATTTTACGTGATTCAGTAAACAGAACAGAGATTCATTCCGTCGGTGCTAGATCGTCGATCTAATTCGATGAAGAATATACTTAATATCTAATTAATTTAATAATGACAATGGGATTTTTTAAGAAATGGGAAATTCAAAATGCTCAGAAAACTTTGTTGCAACTCAAAGGACCTGATTAAAGGTGACAGCCCAGAAAATATTCAGAAGCCATTTCCATAACTACCATGTCTCACAAAAGCAGTAATACTAAGCAGAAACTCAGAAACACTTAGTTACGACATAAATACTAATAATAATAGTTTTTGTTTCCCCGGATAATACAACCTCAATGACAAACAAGAAGCATCAAAATCCGTCATTCTATATTTTCAGCATTACAATGGCAACAAGCGAAACTAAACATAATAATGGTAAACGACGACGAACACCAATAGAGATAGATGTTAATAAGGTTTTGATATAATTAAGAAAAAAGATGAATCATGAATGTTCAATGACTCTCTTAGCTCCATCCAAAGTATTCTTTAGTAGCATAGCAACAGTCATGGGTCCCACACCACCAGGAACTGGAGTGATCCATCCAGCTACCTTACTTGCTTCTTCAAAATCCACATCCCCAACCAGCCTGTATCCTGATTTCTTACTCGGATCATCCACAGCATTTGTTCCTACATCAATTACTGCAGCACCCGCTTTTATCCAGCTTCCTTTTATCTGAAATTTACGTCAATATTTCAATACTATGCAATCATTATACATATATGTATGTTAATGTTACCATTTTTGCTTGTCCTGCAGCAGCAATAATGATGTCAGCATTACGAATGATGGTCTCCGGTTCCTTTGTGTGTGAATGAACTACAGTAACAGTAGCATCTGCCTTGAGAAGGAGCAAAGACACTGGTAAACCAACTATATTACTTCGACCCACCACAACCGCATTCTTTCCCTTAACACTAATACCACTTCTTGATAAAAGCTCGAGGCAACCCTGTTTCGACAACAAGGGAACGGTTTTCATTAATTAATTAATAAATAAAGCCTGTTCAAATCAATGAATATGTTAGTTACCTTTGGGGTGCAAGGGACAAAAAGAGGATCTCTGCCTTTCATTGCCAATTTGCCAATGTTTAATGGATGAAATCCATCAACATCCTTTTCCAGGGATATTTCTGTTAGAATTTTCTCTTCATTTATATGTTTAGGCAACGGAAGCTGTACCAGTATACCTGCACCAAAAATTAATTTCCCTATTTTATACATATTTATTTATAGAGCACAACGTAGAACATTGTACGTATAAAGCATGTGGTTACCCTAAGAAGAGTTACTGGCTAATATATTAATCCCAGCCTACGTCCAACAAAACAGAACATAATGGAAAGATTTTCTTAACACAATTATATCAGCACAAACAACATACAGCACAGCAACATTATTCTTATTACCAAGAATAATCAACCCCCGTCTATTAAATCTACAAAATTGTATTGAATGTTTTGGTTGATCAAATTCCACCTGTCGTCAAGGATCTGATAACCCTTAACAAAATGTGTTTAGTTCCTATTAGGCATATAAATGATAATAGTAGAAATGGGCCAAATATTCCAACTCTCTGATTGCAATTCCATTTTGTTTATGATGAATTTAATTCAGCCGAATTTTGTAAGAATTAAAGGGAAATATGTCAAATTAATAAATGATGAACATCTGAGGATAATGGAAATGAGAAGAACGAACCATGAACATCAGGATTGGCATTCAATTGGTGGAGTTTGGTAATCAAGTCAGATTGGGAGACATCCTCAGGAAGGTCAATATCGAAAGACTTAATACCGAGTTCAGCACAAGCCTTCCTTTTCATACCCACATAGCTCTGTGAATCCTTCCTTTTCCCCACTATTACCACTGCTAGACCCGGCACCTGAATTTATTGAATTTTATCCACATTCCAAAATCCCTTTTATCATTCATTCAATCAATCAATCAATCAATCAATCAACAGATAACTACAAACCTTGTTGTATGTTTGGGAGAGACGTTGAACTTCGACGGCAATTTCGGATCGGATTGTTTGGGCGATAGCTTTCCCATCGATAATGGTGGCCGACGACATCGTTTCGTTTCGTTTCAACACCTATTGTTATATTACTGTGTGTGTGTGTCCAGTGGTATGTATATATATGTATCTCAATGTTTCTATCCAATCTTCTTCTTCTTTTTTAGTTATCGTTTTTATTCTTATTCTAATTTTCTCCTTTTCATGCCTCATCATTTTTCTTTTCTTAAATTACCAAAAACCCCTCAAACTAAGCTCAATACACCAAATAATCCCTCACTCATATGCGTATGTATATTAATTCCACCCATGAGGTCTATTTATAAATATTACATTGATTACTGTAAATAAACCATATATACAGTTAATGTAATCTTTAAGACCTAATTTTAATTACCATGGATTATTTTAGTAAATAATCCATATGTGTAATTAATTTGGTCTATTAGAGTTAACTTGATATGTATATGGGTTATTGAAATCAAAAGTCACTAATGAAGCCCATTAAATGAGAAGCCTATAAGAGACTACTATAAATCAATGTTCTAAAAATCGGCCGATTAATCGGTATCCGAGGCGGAGGCGGTCCAAAACCTTTACGATTTTAGTGTAAATGTTTGAAAAATCGGTTTTTTGCCTGTGAGGCGGTTTTAGGCGGTCAAACCTTTAAGGCGGGTCAAACTCGGTGGCAAAAATCGGTTTTTTTTTTTTTTTTTTTTTTTTATAATTCAAAATAAAAGATGGATTTTAATAAAAGAAAATATGAGTTTATGCCTTATTTTGTTTATGTTAATTGTTATTGTTAAAGAACTAATGATGTATGCCAGGAATGTTCAAGAATAAATGTAAATTCAAAAAATTTGTTTTTTTTATGGGCCAATTACGGCCACCCCCCTGAGCTATGGTGAAATTACGAAAACCCTCCTCCTGTTTGGGTAATTACAGCCACCCCCCTCAACTATGTATTTATCTTACAAAAAGACCCCTCAAGAGGTAAATTTAGGGATGTTAATTCGGTAAAACCGAACCAAAATTTCGGTACGCCAACATTTCATACCGTTTACCGAACTAAATATACGATTTGGTTCGGTAAATAACCGAATTACATAAATTTTACGTAAAAATATTTAAAAGGAGGGGGGTGGCTGTAATTACCCAAACAAGAGGGGTTTTTTCGTAATTTGACCATACCTCAGGGGGGTGGCCGTAATTTGCCCTTTTTTATTTATATTTTATAAGGATATTTATGTATTATGATCTTATGATTATTAAACTTTTATTATGTTATTAGGATATATACATGATGGAGATGTAACTATGTTTAAATATCTATTTATATATGGAGTATTTATAAATAATATTTAGAAATATATTATATTAAATTTTAAAAACCGATTTATTTTCGATTTATCACCGCCGCACCGATTAATCGTGAGTCGATGCCTAACCGACTAGAACCCGATTACCACTTTTTACAACCTTGCTAATTGCTATAAATATAAGAGATTACTATTCATTTGAGGTAAGTTCTATTTCTTTGCAATTTAGAGAGTTTTCTACCTACAGAGAATATTCCCACTGACTTGACCGTCGGAGGTTAATCGTTGGGCCAACCTCAGCGAGTCACCTAGTGTTCGCCTCTGTTTTGTAGGTTGGAGCATAGATTTCTACTTTGCACGAGGTCTATCGCTTGACATTCAGATTGAAACCTCACGTTCACCTTGGACATGTAGTAAGAGACGCTACTTTCCTGATTTACTTCGTGAGTGTACTCGAGCAGCATCATTTTAACGCCGTCTGTGGGAAATCGACCCCCACATGTGTCATGAAAAAAGGTAACCGAAGGGTTAATAATTCGCCATCCCGTTACGAGGAAGGAGGTCCTAGCTAGCCTCCCCCACCTGTTGGAATGATTCCACCTTATCCATCTCTACCCCTAAGGACGAGAACTTCGAGAGATGCAAACTGAATATTTATATTATATTAATTTATTGTCAGATTTTAATCAATCATATTGTTTGGCCTAGTGGTAATTACTATATGTTCCTTCCAATTGTCCTGAGTTTAAACTCCTGCCGAAGCCTGAAAAGAGGGGCCCGAAACCGAGCCATACGTTGACGGGTGCGGGTCAACGAGGCGGGGCGGGCTTCGGGCATGTGGCCGTGTTTACTCTCTCTTCTCATTAATATCCACACTCTATCTCCTCAAATTCCTCTCCATCATTAAAATCGACATTCACTCTCTCATCCCATTTATCTCTCCTTATTAAAATTTAATTACTTTATCCAAACACATTCTCATTTCCTACAAAATAACCAATATTCATTTTTTCCATCAGAAATTTCGAAAACTAGAAAATCTCACCAGAAACATTCCCAAACATCCCATTGTTTCCTTAGAGCATCTCCAATGTTCATTGGTAAAAGATGGAATGTTAAATCCGTTTTAGCTAATGAATAGTGTTTTAACAACTCGTTTACTCCAATCATATTATGTATAATTTACCATTCTATTATATTTTGTTATGTCTTAAATATCAATTATTTCAACTTCATACTTTTTGCCACTATAAACCTATTATCTTAATATTTTTCCTTTACTATATGTAGCATTCCTCTCTCATCTTTTACCATGTGAGATAAAATATAATTTACCATTTGGAGAGGAGTTTTTTCTATTTACAAGAGTTAAAATACTAATTTTTAATTTTCAGCTCTCCAAAGCTATCATAGTTGGAGTCGGAGATGCCCTTAAGGTTTAACATTCTTGTCAATATATTATCTTCATTTTGCTTCGAGTTGAAATCTCTAATGAAAAATATACCTCCATGAGTAAAAAACTATTCATTACTCCATCAAATTGGTATTAGAGTTGTGGTTTAAATGAAAAATATGAATGGATCCATGTCATTTTCAAAACTCATGCTAATATTAATACTAATGCTAATAGTGATATTAATGCCAATACTGGTATTTGAGAGAATTACATTGTTCATCCCTCATGTTTCACATTATTCCACTTTTGGTCCCCGTTGTTCCAAAGTGAACAAAATACACGTCGAAAGTTCAATTTCAAACACATATAGTCACCTCCGTCACTTGTCTGTTCACATCTAACTGAAAACACTAGTTTGGGGACGAAGTACATTTCAAAATTCTTGAAATTTCAATTACACTGCCGAAATTATTTTAAGCAAGAAGTGGGGTTTGGCCTTGATTAATATTATTATTTTTGCTTCGGAGGTGCTAATTTGATATTGTTTCGAAGGACTTCTACATATGTTTTTTTGTTAACAAAGGAATTGGCTGCTTATAAAATTGTGCAAATTAGAAGTGTAGATTGAGACGGAATTTTTGAATTGCGTCAATTCTTATGCGAATATTTTTTTTATTTTGGAACCATATTTTCTTTTCCGAATTTCAAAAGTTATGATTTTCTTTTTTTGGATTTTGTTTTTTGGATGGAATTAGAATGCAGATAAAATTTTGATTTTCGATCCAAATTTAATTTAGGAAAATACTTCAAAAAGTTCTTATTTTGTTTTTTTCCTGAAAATTACACTTGTGATATCAGTATTATTATGGTAAATTACGGCAACTCTCAGGTCAAATTAAAACCCCCTCTTGTTTGAATAATTACAATCATTCCTCAATTATGAATTTCTTTTACACGTCCACATTTATGGTATCAAATTCAATATAATCTTCTAGATTATGTGGAATATTCTCAAGTTTGTATTCGTTTTGTGCAGAAATGCAGTTTATAATACACAACTATTTGATATTTACAAGCCAAGAGACACATCTTATCATCTTTTTGTTTTAAAATGTGGAGCTCGAATGGAGTAAAACAGGTACAAACCAATGAATGTTCCACATAATCCAGTAGATTTCACTAAATTTGACACCGCAAGAGTCGACGTTTAAGAAGATTGATAGTTGATGGTTGGTTATTATTACCCAAAAAATGAGTTTTTTCGTAATTTGACCTTACTTCAAGGTGTGACCGTAATTTATCCTATATATTTTGTCAAATAAGTCTATTGTAGGGACCGGCCGATGATGATCAATTTGAATTTTTATAAGACATAAAAGTCAAGAAAGGGACCTCAAATTGAAGATTGAATGGTTTATCTTTGTGGTGCATTCTGCTTCACTTCAAAAGTCAAAAGAGTTGCCTAATTTGAATGCCAGCGTTTAGATACTATCCCCTCTCTCTCTCTCTCTGAACTTCATCATAGAGAAGAATGGAGATAGTGAGAGAAACTAAATACAATCGTGCCGAAGAATTAAAATCTTTCGACGAAACAAAAGCCGGCGTAAAAGGCCTAGTCGACTCGGGAGTCGAAAAGATCCCTAGAATATTCCATGTCCCCAAAGAATATTCCACCAACGCAAACGAAGCGAATTTCGATATTCCAGTTATTGATCTTGGACAAGGCGTTGATCAAAAGGAGAGTGTTGAAAAAATCAGACATGCATCGGAGAGATATGGGTTTTTCCAGGTGGTGAATCATGGGATTCCTGTCTGTGTATTGGAGGAGATGCTTTGTGGGATCCGCAGATTCAACGAGCTAGACGCAGGGGCGAAGAAGTTGTATTACACGCGCGATGTGACGAGAAAGTTTGTCTACAACAGCAACTTTGATTTGTACAGTGCACCTGCAGCTAATTGGAGAGATACTTTCTTCTCCTATATGGCTCCAAATCCTCCTAAGCCCGAAGAATTGCCCGCTTCGTGCAGGTACGTACGTACGTACCCTTAATAATTTCAAATCCATCGAATTTTGAAATCCACTATGCACTCAGTCAAATAGCAAGGTGGATCTAATCTATGACACAAAGTCGAACGTACGTTAATTTGAAGGATTTGTGTGATAAAAAAGTCTAGTGAGATTTACATCTGGATTGAAGGATTTGGAGATAATACCAATATCGAATCCACAACACACCAAATAGATTGAATTTGTGAAGATAAATTCATCGTGCAATGGATTTCAAATCACTACTACCTCTTATATTGAACAACTTTTTTCGAGTTATTGTGGTGGATTTAATTTGAAGTTTATTGCATTCAGTACCTTTGTGTTATAAAGAATATATGATGCATTTTTCAGCACACAACCCCCTAATTGGTTCGTTTTTATGGGATCGTTTTGCTAATACAATTAAAGAGAGTGTTTGGCTATGCTTATAAGCTATTCAAATTTGTTTGGTATTTTTCTCTTCAAACAATCTTATAAACAAAAAAAAAAAAAAAAAAAAAAGAAAAGAAAAAGAGTATTTGGTGGAGTGCTTACCTTTTTATTAAGATTTTATGATCAGTAAAAAATAACTTATATGCTTATTATCCAAAATTATTCTAAAAATAAGATGTAACAACTTATCAAGTGTAACAACTTATGTTGTTTAAAATAAGTATAGCCAAATACACTCTAAATCATAGGGGCGATAGTTTTTTGATTTTCTACAATTAGAGTAAACACAGGGTGCTACATGCAATAAATCCGTAGTAGTTGTATTGCATAAACAGAGAGAGATCCCAATATTTTCACCACATTTATTAATTATGCAGAGATATACAAATAGAGTATTCAAGACATGTAATGAGCTTGGGTTTTCGGTTATTCGGTTTACTTTCGGAGGCACTCGGGCTTGAATCAAGTCGGCTCTTTGAAATGGGCTGTACCGATGGGCTGACATTCTTGGGCCATTACTATCCAGCGTGCCCACAGCCAGAGCTGACTTTGGGTGCAAGCAAGCACACTGACGATGGCTTCCTCACCGTTCTCTTACAAGACCAAATCGGAGGCCTCCAAGTTTTTCTCAATAATATGTGGATTGATATTCCACCTGTGCATGGTGCTCTTGTGATTAATATTGGAGATCTGCTACAGGTTTGTAGATTCACTTCTATCTTCTGTGGTAGTTTTTGCGTTGCTAAAAAACAAATTAATAATTAGTTAATTAAGGAAACCATTTCTTTAGAAACATATGAGGGTATTTTAGACATTTCAATTTTTTTCAGGCTATTTTGTTTCCAATAGCAATTTATATATTTCGTGATTTCAATTAAAGTTTGTGACGTATGGTTAGTTTGAAGGGTTAATGTAATTTTGCAAACACAAAAGAGACTTTCGTAATTTAAACATACTTCAAGGGGTTGTTTTGACTATTTTTATTTTTCATTCATAGGTAATTAAGACATCTCACCGTTTTTGTTAAAACTTTAGATTTGACCGTTACTTTGAGGGGTAAAGACAAATTCGCAAATGAAAGTGGTATTTTTGTAATTTAACCTTATTCCAGAAAGGTGTTTGTCCTTTTAAGACATACCATAATATAACATATGTACTAAGTTGTAGTGATTTGTTTTTCAGCTTATTTCAAACGACAAGTTCAAAAGCGTGGAGCACAGAGTTCTAGCAAATCGGAAAGGTCCAAGAATGTCGGTGGCGTGTTTCTTTAGCACTTCTATGATGCCATCGTCGAAGATTTATGGACCAATAAAGGAGTTGCTATCGAAAGATAATCCTCCAAAATATAGAGAAACAACGGTAGAGGAGTACGTTACATACTCATTTACCAAAGGCCTTGATGGGGTTTCCCCTTTGCTTCATTTCAAGATTTAAACTTGGCGACCGAAGATCTTGCGTTACAATTTCTTACAACATCTAGTGCTATAATAAATCCCATTTCAATTAATTAATTTGCCTATGTAAGTGTTACCACGCCTATAGTATTTCAGCAGTACTCGAAACATAATAAATCTCTATATAAAATATTAAGTTTGTTTTACAATTTTAGAGTAATTTCTTGAATTCGTTTCTATTACAAGCATCTTGACATATATTCCTATAGAGTTCATATAATTGTATAATATCTAAAGCTTTAAACTCTGCAAAAAAGTGCCATTCACCCCCTTGGCACGAACTGCATAACTAGTATATTCTTTCATCGTTACTCCGCGATACTTTGGCGGATTATCCTCCGCTAGAAGCTCTTCAATAGGTCGGTACACCCTCGTTCTCCCACCCAAAGTATCTCTCCAAAAGAAGCAAGCCACTAATATTCTTGGACCTAACCGGCTAGCCAAGACTCGGTGCTCCACACTCTTCAATATATCATTCGATATCAACTGAAGAAAATAAATTCGCAAAAAAGACTAAAAATAAAATAAAATTCTAATTTGAATTATGAGCAAACAAAAAATATAGATTAGATTCAATAGAAAAATGCATGCCTGAAGAAGATCTCCGACATTAACGACTAAAGTGTCTTATGTTTTGGAGGAGTATCGACCCATTGATTCTGATGAAGAAGGACTTGAAGACCACCTAAATTGTCTTGAAGAATTCTCAAGAAACCATAGTCCGAATGTTTCACCGTACCTAATGTGAGTTCGGGCTGTGGGCACGAGGGGCAGTAATGTCCGAAAAGTGCAAGTGTTTGTGCACAATCAATGTCAGTTAGGTGATTCCGGTTGAGACCAAGTGATTCAGTAGAGAGAAGGTTGAACAATGTGATTCCTAAGCTCATTACTTGCTTTGAGTACTCCATCACAATTTCCCCGTAGTGTTTATATATATATATATATATATATATATATATATATATATATATATATATATATATATCTTATATATAAAATGAAGATATTTTGAACTAAAACCTAAACCTAAACCTAAACCTAGGGGTATTTTTTACAATTCATATCCCAACAGTTTTTTCATACGGTTTTCTCAATGAAAAAAAAAAAGAAAATCCCTCATATTTGTACAAAATTGGATACACGATGAATATATAAAAAATAAGCTTCCTTATTTCATGGGTTGAATAAACTGAATAACTACGTGATAAATAAATTAAATAATAAAAAACAAAGAAAGTTAATAATAATAAATAATTGATAAAGTTAACTGTTCGGGTCGTCCGGGTCCAGTATTTGATATTCTTTGGTATGTTCATAAGCAATATTTAACCTCTTCCACCCACTAACTCATCATCACACAATGATCTCAATCCATTATCAATTTCAATGCTCTATTTAAACCCCCAAAAAACTCCACAAAAAATCACAAGTTTTTTTTGCCAAGCCTCTTCTTCTTGCTAAAAATAAAATTTATTCTTCTTCTTCCTCACAAATTATTTTCAACATAGCCAATTGCTTTCTACAGGTAAACAATACAATGTTTGTTATTTAGATTTATTTATATCAGATTTTTAAATTTCACATCACCAATAGTTGCTAATGATTTTGATTTTTTTTTTTTTGTGCAACTCAAGCATAATTTTCGTGCACAATGTCCCCCGTATGACAGCTATGTGCCTTCACATAATGTTCGAAGAGATATTTATATTTTGTGGTTTTTTCTTCTTGCTTTTCGCTCTTTTAATTTCTTTTATTTTTACAATGTTGAAACTATTAATTATCTTTGTATGTCTAATATATGTTTATGCCAGTTTACTTTTTTATTTTATTTTTCTTTCTTTTTTGATCTATTTGTGGAATTTCGTTTTCTAATTATACATTACATTGTTAGTTTAGTAATACGATGTATTACTGGAGTTGTATTAGTTTGTTCCTTCCTACTACGACTACTATGTTTGACAGTTCTTACTGAGAATTTCTTACTGAGAATTGATCGGCTGATATCTCTTCGGATAGAAGGTTGTATAATTTATATGTAAAATTCAACTTATTAAAAATTAAATATAGTATTTTCATGAATAAAATTTTATGATTTATTCTGAATGAAGAAACCGAACCAATGTCTAACTAAATACTATTTACTTTAAATAACTAAAATAAATAAATCAATTTAATTTGTCAAAATAGGAGGTTAAGTAAAGAAATAATAAATTATAATTAAATATTATTTAAATAACAAATAAATTAACATAAAAATAAAAACAAAATAACAAATTAAAACTAAATACTATTTAATTAAAATCAACCAAAATATTATTATTTTACATACAACTTAATAAATAATTAACAAATTAAAACCAAATCAACCAAAATAAATTATTTATCAATTTAATTTTTACGTCTTTGACTCATGGAATATATATACATAATAGTATTTAAAAATCAATTTATTGCTTTAATTTCTACGTTTTGTTAACAATTTTTTTTCCTTTAATTTATAGATTTTGATTAAGTTTTCTTTTATAATGGATATTAAACATCTTACGTAAAGGTGGATTGCGTGGATGGAAGTAAACACCCATATTATATATAACTTCCAACATCCTTTTCAACTCCTCCACTAAGACATATAAGGGGTTTCCTCCCTATGTTCAACATCTTTCCTGTTAAAACTTCCATGGCAATAAGTTTTCATGCTCATCTCAACAGTTACAACCATTTGTCTGTTGCAGTATAAGTAATCTACTATACAATCTTTTGCACTTGGTGACTGAAAACAAGGTTTCACCAATATGTTGTTCGATCGAGATTCCGTCGGATTTAATTGAAGGTCATGTGCGAACGTCTCACTCATCTATTTATTTTTTCTATGCATTTCTCCTGTAAATGCCTTTTCAATGGTTACTATGCATTAAACTTTAAATATTGTGTAAATCTAACTGTGAGTTAACATAACTAATTGTATAATAAACGTCATAACTAATTGTATTTCCGTTTATTTTGATGACATATTTTTTTATAGCTAATGGATTGTTCACTACCTCCGCAAGAAAGCCGTAGAAAAAAGAAACGTTATTCAGAGTGCAATAAAGAAAATTGTGACTCTAGCACAACCTCATCATCTATTTTAACAACTCATCCAACAAGAGATGAAAACTATTCGTCATCGCATAATACATATGCAACATCCACGATTGAAGTCAATACATTGGGTGAATGCGCACTTAATCGACAATGTGATATTTTAGGTAATTCATCCTCTGGATTGAAAGATAAATTTTATCATTTTTTTAATTTAAATTTAAATTTGTTTTTAAAAACTTTAAAACGGTTATTTTTTAATTTTTTTCTCTTTGATTCATTTTCATTTGTCGTACATATTAATCAACCACCTCTTTAATTAAAGATTTGGAATTGGTTGCACATTCACAGTGATTTGCACACAACACAAGCGGTCAAAATATTCCTCTAAGTATTTCATTTCGTTATATTGCGTACATTTTTTTTCACATTTATATGTATGTGCACGCAATTATGTATGTTATTTTAACAATATTTTAATCAGATATTAGCAGGGAACTTACACAAGACATATCTGGTCATGGAATAAATAAAAATAATAAAATGCTATTTGCGATCACAAAATTGCTATTCGCGGTTTATAACAAAACCCTCAAAACTTTTAAAAATATCTAAAAACCCCCCAAAACTGCAAATAGCAAAAAAAAAAATCGAAAATTCGAAATCAAGCTTGAAGAAGGGTTGGGCTTCGATTTTTTGATGTAATTTCGACTCTTTTATGTGTAATATGCATTGGGTAGATCGATTACGCAACCAATTTCATGTTAAAAATCCCTACAAATCGATTTGTACGGTTTTTTTTTCGCAAAAAATGGTCGAACGCCCAAGATGGGCGCCCAAGGCGTGTACGAACGCCCGTTCCGGGCGTTCGAACATTTAAAAAAAATAAAAAAAATATTTGCACTGGACGCCCAACTCGGGCGCCCAAATACAGCTTGCACGCCCAACTTGGGCGTGCACTGCATGAATGGGCGCCCAAGTTGGGCTTTTACGCGTTTTGGGGGGGTTTTTGGATTTTATTGAGAAGTTTTGGAGTTTTAGTGAAATAAAGTATTTTTTTGGGGGGGTTTTGTTATAAACCGCAGATAGAAATTTTCAAACCGCAAAAAGCAATTCCCTAAAAATACAACTCTTTCAAATTCAGGTATGTTTATAAGTATTGTACCTTACTTAATTATGATTTTTCTTTAAATTGTTTGTTTTAATTCCTTATTACCGTAAATGTAAATATATTAATAAATATAAACCATGTCTTCCAAGGTACGGAATATTGGGACATAGGTGATCCAATTTATGAATGCAGTTATTGTGAGGCAATGATGTGGTATGATGAGCGATTAGAGAAGCATGTGATGAATAGTACACAACCGAAATTTTCTCTATGTTGTAGTCAAGGAAAAGTTCAACTCCCATTTCTTACGAATTGCCCACAAACTCTCCAAAATATTTATTTCAAGCGTGATGCAAGAAGCAATTTGTTTTTGGAGAACATTCGATCCTTCAATATGATGTTCTCTTTCACGTCTTTGGGAGGAAGAAATGATACAACAATAAACAAAGGAACTGCACCACCCACATTTATCATGTGCGGGGAGAACTACCACTGCATTGGAAGCTTAATTCCATCTGAAGGATCAACACCGAAATTTGCACAATTGTATATTTACGACACGAAAAATGAAGTATCAAACAGAATGAATGTCGTAAGGTATACTACTAAATTTATCTATCTAATTTACAAATGTTAGTTTAATTTATCCACTTATCTATTATATGGGATTTTAACAAACAAAATAATATGTTGTATTCATTATAGGATGGAATCAAGTTCGAATGAACTATCAAATTCTATTGTTACAGATCTAAAGGATATGCTCGATCAGTACAATCCGTACGCGCAGTCTTACAGAATAGTCAGAGATAAAATTGAAAGTCCAGCATTTCGTGAAGTCAAATTACGGCTTTTAGGAAAGAGAAGTCATGATGCTAGAAGATACAATCTTCCTTATGCATCTGAAGTAGCAGCACTTATAGTTGGTGATTTTGATTCTGCCGACGCTCAGCGAGACATT